GGGCAATCTACTTCCGTAGTGATACTGCCTCGGAAACCCAAGTAGGGGTCGCTATGAGTCAGGTCCGACTCGATGGCACATAACAACAACAACAGTTGAAATTCAATGGTATTCTACTGGCTTTTCTCCATCTCTCTCTATAGTAACCTCTTTTGTTTTTGGTGGTTGTTTTAGGGCTTCAACCAGATACATCTTCACAGTCTCCAGATCAAGAAGTTCTATTAAAAGTTAAAACTGAAATTGAAGAAGAGTTGAAATCTTTGGACAAAGAAATTTCTGAAGGTCAGTTTATTATTTTCCTAGTTAATTAGTAGATTTAGTTTTGGTGTAGTTTGATTATTGTCATTTAAACTTGGTTTTTACAGGAGGGTATTCTCATTCAGTATTACACATTTCATTGGTATTTGATTATAATGGTGAGACTGGAAGGTAGCCTTTTTCTTTCCCACAAAATATGTTTTTGTAAGTTTCCCAACTCTTTCTGGTGTTAAGTAATAGACTAAATGATCATTGCTAAAGTTCTTTCCTTTCAGTTTGGTTTGATGTTGACATCTCTGTGTGCCAATTATCACATGTCATTCTTGCATGTATAAATGGTATTTTGTTGTTGTTTGCTGCCATTGAGTCAGCTCCTAACTCATGGTGATCCCATATACAATGTGATTGGATCATTATGATCCATAGCATTTTCATTGGCTTGTTTTTCAGAAGTAGATCACCAGGCCTTTCTTCCTAGTCTATTTTAGTCTGGAAGTTCCACTGAAACTTGTCTAGCATCACAGCAGCACTGCAAATCTCCACTGATAAATAGGTGAGGGTTGCATGTGAGATGCACTGGCTGAGAATCAAACTCTGGTCTCCCGCATGGAAGGTGAGAATTCTGAATAGACAGTTGTTAACATTACATCATAAGCTTTTTTTTTCCTTTTAAAGTTTTCAATCTCCTAGAGTGCTTTATTATTCCTACCAAAGGTCAAGAACTGGAGGCCATGGCATAAGCTTTTTAAATAGTTACAATTTTACATTCATTTCCATTGATTGACTGAATAATAGTTCCTCATTTGTTCCCCTATTATAAAGGGGAGCATTTGGATTATTTCCTTTTTGCCTTACATAAGTAACACTTATGTTCACAAAAATTTGGACACAAATGTTATAGCTCTATTTTTATATATTTCACATACCATAAAATTCACCCTATAATTATTTTGTTACAAAAGTGATTGATAATTCTTGGAATTAGATTCAACTTCATGGGATTAGATACAAATTTATTTGGATTATCTGCCTTGCATCTCATTTGTATTTTAGAACAAAATTGACTATGTTTCTTCTTTCTACAGTTACACAATGCCTAGGCTTGTATAACATAGAGTTAGGAAGCAGATGAGGTTGGTAGATTGAACTGAAGAGAGATAGGATATGGTTGCTTCTCTTCAGTCTTCAACTTTTGTCCTTACTGTATAGCCTTCACAGTTACTAATTTTATCCATGTGCAGGCATACTGAGTTTGAAAGGAAAAGTAATTGGTTATTCCTCTATGGTAAACTGATTAGAATCTGGTTTAAGAAGTGCCGCATTTACAAAGGTGAAAACAAAACCTTATAGATTATTAAGAGAAGGATGATAGAGCCAGGAATTGCCTCTCATTTATCGTGCTTATACAAAATTCTAAGGAGCTGTGGTGGTGCAGTGGTTAAAGCATTGGGCTGCTAACAAAAAGGTAGATGGTTCAAATCTACCCGCTGCCCTACAGGAGAAAAATGAGGCAGTCTGCTTCCTTAAAGATTTATAGCCCTGGAAACATGGGGCAGTTCTACTCTGTTCTGTAGGGTTGCTGGAAGTCAGAATCGACACGATGGCAGTGGGCTTGGGCTGTATTAAATTGGTCAGTAGTACTACATGGAATTGCTTATTTTTCAACATGCTAATTTAGTCTTTTTCTTTCCTTAAAACTAAGTTTTCCACCAAATCCTTTACTATTTTAGAAAATAATACCATTAAATTATTTTTCCTTATCAATTTTTGTGTTACAGGACAGATTAGTATCCATAATGATTATCTGCCATTTTTATGTGGCTTGTAACTATTAGTTTGTTCCCAGTAGTAGATGTCTTAACCCCCTGGACTCTTTTAGCACAGCTTGTAATGTTGTTTGTTAAATTAGCTTTTTCTTTTGCTCTGTCTTTAGCCTTCACCAGCACAGGCTTTGACCGCCATACTTCCCCAGTGTTCAGCCCTGCTAATCCAGAAAGCTCAATAGAAGACTGCTTGGCCCATCTTGGAGAAAAAGTGTCCCAGGAACTGAAGGAGCCTCTGCATAAAGCATTGCAAATGCTCCTCAGCCAGTGAGTTACCATTGCTGAGTAGGAATGCGCTGCTCTAAGTAGTCTCTGGACTGCTCTTGCAGCGCTGGATTAGTTAAGGCTTTGTTTTAGGTGAACGGTGTCACTTCTTTCCTCACTTATTTTTCTTCACTTTCATTTTCCCAAAACATCTCTGTGGTTTTGAGTGACAGCTTTGCATCAAAGCAGTGATTTAGTTGTTCAGCATGCCATTGATAATTTTTATTTACTTGTTTCAACAAATGCTTTTACTGAATTATAAATCTAAGCTATTTAATTTGTCCTAACCACTTCTTTTACCGTTCTCTGGCCCACATAAATATAATGGCTAAGATTTTATATGTTACATTGTACTATGGGATTAACATTATATCTGTATTTTAGTTATCCCAGATGTTGCTAAACTTTGGGATTGCATATCTGCCCATATAACTACTTCCACCTTCTTATAGTGGGAACTTAGCTCCTAGGTATGGTTTTGACAGTTAAAGCTAAAGGCAAAAAGCAACAACCAAGTACTTTATTGTAAATCTCAAAAATACATTTCTTCTAATTCTTTGCTGAGACTCATTAAGAAATTGATGTGAATTAGAAAAAAAAAAATTTGTCTTAATAAAGATCAATAGCTTTCTAAAATATGCCTTCCTTGAAAGGGTCAAAATTCAGATGCCAAAAGACTATTATTGTAAGGTAGTTCCTTGCTTTCAAGCAGTTAAAATTTATAGTTTACCATTTGTTAGAAGGAAGTAATTTGGGTTTTAAGAAAATACAATATGTTTCTGCATATACTGGTGAATTGAACAAATGTAAAAATTTTAATTAACATTTAGGAAAGAGTAGAATGACAATCATATTTGGACTTCCTTTATCTTAGAAAAGTTTAAAAATCAATGTGGAGAGAAGAGTACAGGTGTCAGAAAAAACTTAAATAGGAAATTCAAGGTTATAGCAGTGGTTTTCAAAAAGTGTTCTGTGAGCCTTAGAATTCTGCTGAGTACCTTAGGGGTCCTTGAAGAGGTGAAGGCTCTGTTGAGTAGGTGGAGCTTATTAAAGCCTTTTCATTTTTCAACCAGAACAGGTATACTTTCATCTATTTTATATATTGAGATTTCATGTAAGATTTGAAGAAAGAAATATGCTGCTTTATATGAAAAAGAAAAATAAACCTTTTAAAAACTATTGGGATTGGGAGTAAATTAACTAAGTGAGAGATCTAAGGCAAAAAATTCTGTTTCCAACTTTGATATAGACTTTCTGGCTTGGAGCAAATAATTTTATTCTTTATATCTCAGTTTTCCCATCTGCTAATTTTAACTTTACTGATACATTAGGAGTTCTTTAAGAACAGTGTTACACAGTTAATATAGCAAAAAAACTCAGTATTACTGTTTTTACAGTCTTTTTTATAATCTACAGGAAAAATTGGTATCTTCTCACTGCCAAGTAAATTATACTTGAAAGAAAATTGTATTGGATGAGTATTTATTTATTTATTTATTTTCCCAAACTTTGAATACCAATATAATTATTTTTGAAATTGGTATTTCTTGTTGCATATCCCAGTCAGATTTATTTATAAGTAATTTTTTTTCTAGTTTTGAAAGTTGTTGCTTTATTACTAATACCTTACAAATAACTGATTATGAACTATAAGTACTATGAATTTTGAAAGTACTATTTTTTTAAGGTGGAATATATCACCTAGCCTTCAAACTGTTTTGTTAAAGAAATTAATCCTGAATTCCTTGTATAGAAGAACACCAACAGTTTCTTCTCTTCTCTATTTTAATATCTCATTAGGTAGGGGCTGATCATTGAGCTACTTACTTTTCTATGCATTAGATTTCCTTTGAATGTTTAATATACTGGATTACTTATGTGCATATATGTGTGTACATATAACATTTCAAGTTATATTTCGTTCTGAAGGATGCTAAAGTTTAGCCTGATAGACAAACTACGAATAAGGACTACTGTGACCCACAGCAGCATGACACAGTTCAGGAAAGGAAGTGAAGGGACTGATATACGCAAGTAAAGCTTCAGGGAGAATATAGGTAGGTAGACTATATAGTATCTGCTGAACTTCAGGTTTTACAAGATTCTAGCATTTAGCACAAATGTTGTAAAGTATACTAAGGTTATTTTTATGGAAATGTAATATCAAGAAAGTAGTGCATAACACCTTATCATTAAAAAACATCATCCCTTTAAGCATCTCTCTACTATTGGTTTGATATTGATTTGTATAAAAAAAAGATATTCATGTCATCAGAACTGTTTTCTATAGTATCTAGTCAGCTTTATCCAATAGAAATATAAGCAACATGTATAATTTAAAATTTTCTAACAGCCCCATTAAAAAAAAAAGGTAAAAAAATAAACTTTTTAAATTTTAATAATATTTTTACTTACTCCAATATAGCCAAAGTACTACCATTTCAACATGTGATCAGTATAAAAATTATTAATGGGATATTTTACATTCTTTTACTCTCACTAAGTCTTTGAAATCTGCTTTCAGTACGTCATTAGCCACATTTCAAATGTTCATTAGCTGTTTGTGGCATGTGTTATTAACCTAACTTGAATTGGGAGCAGTGTCACCTTTGGAGTCAGAATGAAATGACTGTAAATTCCTACTCAGTTGCTTGTCAGTTTTGTGGGCTGGGATAGTTTCTTATCTTTTCTGGGTGCTCAGAACAGAAAATGCCTTTGGAAAGAGATTTTTCACTTCTATGTAAACAAGACTCCTCCCCTTCCTTTTTACACATCTGTTAATACCTTGCCAAAAAATGGGGAGAGGGGTTAAATTTTATTAAATCTATTATCCAAATATTGATGCTTGTGTCACTTGGTATCAATTTTTTTTCCCTTAATTTGTGCATGAAATCAATACTTAGACTATAGTACTTCAAGTCACTCAACAAGTTAGTGAGTTTTGTTATATTAATTATATGAGTTTTTGATTTGACTAGGATTTACATGGGAATAATCACAAAGGATTATCTTTCTGCCTGCTAGGATTTTATATCATAAGATGTTCAAAATGGAACTCTGTTTATTACCCTTGTTTATTCCAACTCCATATATCCTCAGCTTGAAAAATCTTCCAGGTGACATGTCTCTTTAGTTTTTAAATATTTTGGATGATCTGCCTTTTTAAAAAGTTCAAATTGTAGTTTATATATATTATATATATA